GGGGGGGGGGGGGTTATCCTGAAATATAAACCCTGGATAATGCAATGTCAAGTTCAAGAAGTAACAATTATTTCGAACAGCAAGTATAGGACATTGCAGACTACTTAACGAACCAAATACAAAGAATAGATGGAACTGTAGAGCTGAGCAACAACATAAAAAGAGAGGTTAATGGCACAACATTGAATTAATCTATCAAAGAAGGGAGGGGCAAAAAAAATCAAAATATTGGCCTGGTACGGGATCAAAATACCAGATACATATAAAATTCACATGAAAGTATCTGACATATGGAAGATATCCACAAGAAACCAAACCTTCAGATATTAAAAAAAAATCTGAAAACCAGCTCAAGCAGCTGATTATTGATCAATAAGCTAATTCTTGCACCCTGTGAAGAGACAAACTGATTTTCAACACATTAAACCTGCCATGGGAATTCAGTTAAAAAAAGACTTGCCATGGGAATCACAACTTGTCCAAAGTTAGAAGGCGAAATTAAGAAAAATAGAATAAATAAACTATTGAGGGTAAAAAAACTATAATTAAATAAAATCATTTAGCTCAATAAATTTGAGGATAAAGTATTGTTGGCAGGGATTCTTACACATGCAAGTGAAATTCCATCTCCAATCTAAAAGTGATATAGAAAGCTACTAGGAGATCAAGTTTGCAGCTATAACGAAATTAAATTATTGCACATGTCAAGGAATGTCCAAGTGGGAAAGAAAGAGATGGAGAAATGGAGCTTTTAAAAGAACAAAGTCCAAGAACATTATTTGAAGTACCTAGCATCTAATAGAAAATACACAATTAGCCAAGAACTCCTGAGACGTGTCAGAAAGAAACATCAACTACTTGTACTTGATAGTCCAAATGGTCAACCTAAGAGGATGCAAACATTTAAACCTATTTACTTATCTAAACGAGGATGAGAATTGCACCCTTACCGTCCGTTAAAACTGCTACTTCATTAAAATTCAGTACTAAAGAGCAGCTTCTCATAGCAAGAAAACTAGCCAAAGCATTAACAATCCAATGGTTTATCTACTTTTTTTCACTTTTTTTGACAAGAAACACTGAGATTATTGTCAGAATATGGGCCCAAAGTACGGGTGACAAAAAAGTCAGTAGTTGCTACAGTCATCATATCAAGGATGCAAGTTCAAATGCTAAACTCTCAGATCTTACACCAAAGATGACAATCTAATATTCAAAATCAGGGCCATGGGTTTAGGGAGCAGCATAATTATTGCCGAAATTGTCAATCTCATATCAGCTTGCAACAGCGCAATGTGAATGCATGGTGAAACAAAATACATCTTTTGGAATGCAGACTACCTTTAATAACATACAGAGGTCAAGACAAGAGTAACATGCAATTATTAGTTACAACTAATTATTGATTAGCAGCAATTTTAGTTTTCTCGTCCTTCTATCTGTTGCAGGACATATAGAACACAGATTTGCTGTGTAAATTCTCAGCACTTAACGGAGAAACAAAAAACAGCAATCCTTGTAGGCATGTAAGACAAACAAATGCGATAGGGAGAAAACACAAATGCTCAAGAATGAGCTGGGCAGAAGTAAACATTCACACAAATGAACTGCATTATGCTACCTGATTGACAAAAATGTTCAGAATGGGAATCCTTTATGCAAGTGTTTTTTGGAGGATTCTGCCAAACGTCTAATACCTTTTGCATTTGTGTAATATTCCATCAACTCATTCGCAACATCCTTTTGGTGACATCCGACAAATGCCCCAACAAAACGCTTATCTGTCATCCTCAATGCTCTCATCATTAAAGGTCCCTTGATTTGTGGGACAAGATCCATAACTTGTAGCTTCTCTGCTAGAAGAACTCGTGGCTTTAACACGGCCTCCAAATTGCAGAAGAGCAAAAATGGGTTATCAAGTACCACTCTTGCCGGTAACTTCATCATACTCAAAACAAAAGTCATGTTTCTCTGAACCTTGTCAACGGACAGCGTCAACACGAGAGGAGAGCGTCCAAAAAGCTGCAAAACCTCATCATCCGAGAACCCAAATTTCTCAAGATTTGCCATCTTTTCACGGATGGTCTCGAGGCGTGAGATGGCAATGAGGGTAACCACATATTTATACATCTTAGAATTAGGAGGGACACTGGTTCTGCAAATGTAATCCATCTTTTCGGCATTTAGTTTACTACGGGGAATTAAGGTGGGACGAGAGAGAAGCATAGGAACCAAGTCAGTTCTCCTAACACCTATACTGTCGTACATGGCAATGACAGGTTTGATTTTATTGTGCAAGTCATAAGTGAGAAGAGAAGGGTTGCGATTAATGGCCATAAGAAGCATTTCCCTTGACCCAAACAAGGATTGGAGATATTGAAGACGCTCATCCAAGTCTTGATTAATGCGACAATTGAGGAAGCGGGGGCGGCAATTGATGATCTTGACGAGGTCGGAAGAGGTGATGCCCATTTCAGTAAGCAAGTTGAGCTTGGATTGGAGGTTAGCGAGGTCCATATTACGAATAGAGGGCCGTCTGAGAAAAATTCTGCATATATCGTTGTCACTGCAACCCCATCTTCTGAGAATATATGTGGTATCCTTTGGTAGATCACAACAAGGAGGCCCTCCCCCTATTTCTGCCTTTGCATCTAGGGTTTTAGTGGCAGATGCAGCCTCTCTAGTACAAAATAGGCGATAATTTAAGAATGATGTGTTTGGAGTCGAAGAATGGAAGGAGGAAGAATTGAAACTCCGAGATACTGAAAAAAGGAAGCGGAATTGAATTATACCATTGAATTTAGATATCATATTAAGCTGCAATGGGCGGGCAAATCACTAGTATTGAGTATCTCTATCAACTGATTGATAAAAACAATATCTGCGTCTGTGTGCGTTTCTCTGTCTGTGCGTGCGTGCGTGTCTCAGTTGAAGAACACAGGCAGAGAGCAAGCGGGAGGGGGAGGAAGACGACTGGGATTGATATAAGATTTAGGGAGAATTATAGGGTGCTCAGAAGGACGTTTAGGAGAGGAAACAANTGTGTGCGTCTCTCTGTCTGTGCGTGCGTGCGTGTCTCAGTTGAAGAACACAGGCAGAGAGCAAGCGGGAGGGGGAGGAAGACGACTGGGATTGATATAAGATTTAGGGAGAATTATAGGGTGCTCAGAAGGACGTTTAGGAGAGGAAACAAACGACGTCGTTTTGCTCAATTTACATTATAAATGAGGATTAATTACATCAGAGACCCTCAAAATATGAAATTTATCTCATTTTAGTCTCCAATGTTTCAATTGCATCCTTTTTGTCCTTAAAATATTGAATATATTTTTCTGTGATCTTTCAAGTAGACAACATCTAAATTGTTAACAATTTGTTAATATAAACTTGTCACGTGATACTGAAATATGAAAAAAAAAATAATTTGAATAACTTTTAACCAAATTTTTATTCAAAATTTTGGTCAAAGAACTACTTAAATTACACAGTTTTGATCATAAAGTATCTAAATTTTAGTAAAGAGCTACCTATATTATACATTTTTTGTCAAGAGCTTTCCAAATTTTGGTTAAGAACTAACTAAATTATTTTTTTTTTTATATTTAAGTATCACGTGATAAATTTATGATAAAAAAAATTATTAATAATTTGAATATTGTCTATACAAGGGACTACATAAAAACATATTGAATACTTCAAAAAATAAAATGTTATAATTAAAATGAAACAAATATCATGTTTTGATAACCTGCAGTGCAATTAACCAAAAAAAAAATGTGTTTTCAGATAATTAGGTAGGTGAAAACAGAGTTCAGAGAGAGAACGAACGAACGACCGACCGAACAAAGAGAGCTAACAATGGATTCAGATTTTGGGATAGCGAGAGAATTGTCCGATCTCCAAAAGCTTCGATCTCAGTACCAACCAGAGCTCCCCCCTTGTCTTCAGGTCTCTCTACTATCTTTCCTTCTCGTTTCCCTTGGAATTGCGATTTGCTCTGTTTCATTCTGTTGCTCTCCCCCCCTCCCTCCCAACCCTTGTATACAGTTAATCCGCTGTTCTGTATAGTGGCATTGACGTTATTTTGTTTGTTTAAGCCGCTTCAGCCCCAATATTCGCCTTTCGCTCATCTATGTATTTGTTTTCGTCAAGCAGCCTTCGAGATTGATTTATTAAAAGACTTTTGTTCTTCAATGTTTTCCTAGTTGATTGAGTGTTGTACTAATCCATCCATAAGCTAGCTAGCATGCAGAAATTAGATCTGACGTGTTACATCGCTTGTTTTATGCCGTACTGTCTCNATAAGCATGCATTTTTGCCTTTCTTTATTTTAATATTCTTCATGTAATTAGATTGCATTGAGGGATAAAATACATACGTTTCCCTGGTTATGTGTAATTTAAATTTTAATTAACAAAATCTACCTAGCGCCATCAAGGTTCCACCAAAAAAAAAAATATATATATATTTTAGTCTCAACCAACCATTGACATAAAAATGATCAAACAATTGGTAAGAAAAATTGATCAAACAATGCTATCGAGTACCGATAAATCTAACATTANTATGCATAAGAAACGTCCATTTGCTACATTCTGCTTAACCACCTAAATCAATGGGGCCAGTTTGTTTTGGGTGGTTCTTTTTATTATGGACTCTGCACGAATATGGAGGCAGAGCTAAGAGCGTTGATTGATGGCTTGGAATAATTACTGCAATTTGAATTGGAGATTTATCAAGTTTTTATTGAAACTGATTCACAGATTTTGGTGAATATGGTTAATCAATCTTGCAGCATCTCCTGGAAATTTTGGCCTCTATCGTACAAATTAATGTCTCTCCTCTCCAAGTTTAACTTTCAAATCCAACATATCTACAGAGAGGGCAATTCTGTGGCAGACTCATTGGCGAATAAAGGAGTCTCTGATCAAGCCTCCTCTGTTTATTCCACCTCGGATCAACTCCCTACCTCAACAAGACTCTTAATGCTTCAAGATGATAGGAAGCTAAGAGTGCTAAGAAAGAAAGTTTGCTCAATGTCCTGATGATTGGGATTGATTTTCTAATTTACTGGTGCTATTGGTCATTTACATCCACATATATTTGCATTCAAAGAAAGTCAAGAGAAGAAAGCAGAGGAATTCTACATTTACTAGCAGACTGCATTTTAAGAAAAGAATTCTCTGGTACTCACCTTCTTAGTCTTCAGCAAAGGGTTTCCCTTGCGGTTTATTAGTATTGATAGATCTCTCAGATCTTGGATCTCATGGATGCTGGCTATCAACGTCTTCTGTTAGTATGAAATGGTCGTGGATTCCATCTGCAGATAGGATTTCAAGGCTGGATTTCTTCTCCATTGTTCTTTTCTGCAAGGTCGCACTCCAACGACAGTATCAGCTTCACAGTGGGGGGCTGATCCTCAACGCCTTAGCATCTTCTGTCTGTTGGGCCTCCCTTCAGTGCTCAGTTCTCCCTCTCTCTATATTTCTCTGCTGCAGGACTTCTGGAACATGGACAGTCATTTTCTGCATTAATTCAACGGTTTGCTGGATATTCATCTGTGCAGCGATACTGGATGCCTTCACTGTGCAGATGTCCTTTCATATGACCCCTGGATTTTGGAGGTTCTCTAATGGGCTCAGAATACAAGCTTCTCTAATCTTGGTATTCACACGAATACTAAGACTACCATCTCAATAGCTGCTTTGGAGGTCTTCGTTTCTGCATTGTCAGAATCTGCTCCTGTTCTTTGGGTAAGGATCGCATTCCATGAGACCCTTTCCAGGATCTCCTACGATGAACAGAGGTCTGCTCATGGCCCCTCGATTCCCTTAGTTGTTCAGAGGCTATTCACTTGCCTTCCATCTGACACCCATAAGGCGGCTGCCTTATCAGCTGCCTTATTAGTTACCTTTCCATATGCCTTATCTGCTGCCTTATCAGATACCATATCTGCTGCCTTATCAATAAGGCGACTGTATTATCAGCTGGCTTTCCACATGCCTTATCAAAATCCATATGAGAGGACCTTTCAACTGCCTTATCTCCAGGAACCTAACAGATCATTTTATCTCTCAGCTAAGGTCATTCAGCTCGTCTTCAAGCTCAGTCAGGCTCCCACCTTAAGCTCTGAATTCGCAACTCTCAGCTCCAAACCAACAACTCTCAGCTCCAGCTTGCAGCACAAGATCTGTCTGCAACATTACATCAGCTGGTCCATTTAATTTTTTAGGCAGTATGCTTAGATTTATTTTATTTTTTCCATTCCTTGTAATAAGCATGCATTTTTGCCTTTCTTTATTTTAATATTCTTCATGTAATTAGATTGCATTGAGGGATAAAATACATACGTTTCCCTGGTTATGTGTAATTTAAATTTTAATTAACAAAATCTACCTAGCGCCATCAAGGTTCCACCAAAAAAAAAAATATATATATATTTTAGTCTCAACCAACCATTGACATAAAAATGATCAAACAATTGGTAAGAAAAATTGATCAAACAATGCTATCGAGTACCGATAAATCTAACATTATACAACACAAAAAAATAAAAATTGATAGTTGAGTCCAAAGAACGTGTAGTTAAGACTATTTTCCGGTACTAAGAAAGAAAAAAATTATGATGGACCACTCTTATTATCATCATAAGACAGTTCTGAATGTGTGGTATCGGATGGTAATGCTGGCATCATGTCATCATCGTTTCCGACCAATGAATCAAATGACACGAGATAATCCGATATGTCAAGCCATGAAGGAGAATCGACGTTGAGTCTATTGGGTAAAGCCACGCCATTGGTGGGAACACCATAGCCATATCCATACCTTGGATAAGTAAGCATTGCACTGGACATGGTGTTGAAAGTTGTTGGTGGCAGAGGAGGAAGCTGAGGGTCTTGAAAAAGAACTGGCTGTGCATTTGTGTTGGGAAGTAGAACTACCCCTTCATTATCAATTATAATACCCCCATTATCCTCGTGTTGTTGTTCTCCATTGGCTTTATTTGCTGCTTTCTTGTACATTTTGCACAAAACCCATTATCCAACTAGAAGCAAAAGAAAAAAAAATAGTTAGTTAGTGCTAAATTATAGGTAATAGGATAATTCATGCAATAACNGTCTTCAGCAAAGGGTTTCCCTTGCGGTTTATTAGTATTGATAGATCTCTCAGATCTTGGATCTCATGGATGCTGGCTATCAACGTCTTCTGTTAGTATGAAATGGTCGTGGATTCCATCTGCAGATANGTAAAATCAGATGTCCTGAATTTAAAACTTGACAGTCTCTCAGAGTCATGTCATGAAGAATTTATCTCTCATAAATACTTTAGTTTGGGCGTGAATGACCTGCTTTTGACCAAACCGAAAAAGGGATTAGTCGACGTACACGTAAACTGATCCAGACACCTCTGACCGTTGAACAAAAAAAATAAAAAATTATTTGTTATTTTTTATAATATGCATGCAATGGTGTAAAATACGATAATTGGTTCCCATATAATATAACTAGTTCCTACTTTATTTCATGGAGAATGATTTACGGAAGGAAATTGATGAAAAATGCATATGAGGAGGTTGAGATCCTAAACACGGCGTATACACGATATAAGCTCAACACAAAATGATTCAAATTATACATGATTATAAATTCTCTTAGGTATGAATTGGACAAAAAATAACTAAACTTAATCATGATATGAATTCGATACAACACGACTAATTCATGACGTTTACTCATATCTATGCCCACTAATAAGAATAATTTGGCTGAAAAAGATGTTTACATACGTCGTTGTCGTTAGGATTCGGACTTGGACGTGGATCAGCCCGTTTGCCATATCTATATTCATGCATCATCCAGTTAGTCTTGACTGGAGGTTCTACTTCCTTTTCCTCAGCCTTTTCCTTTCCCTTTCCCTTTCTCTTTCCCTTTCCGGTGCTTCCCTTGAAGGACACGAGATTTCTTGCATCCAATTTTTTCGCCTTTGCTATAGATCATTGCTATAGATGGGGACATCAGCTCTCATCGGCTTCCAAAATCCCTCATCATGTACTGATCGGTCTGGTCGAGTACTGTTCAGGTATTTCTTTATCCTTTGAGAAAATAAATATCACAAGGTTTTCCTACGTAATTTGAACATTTTTGCCATCAATTCAAAGCCAAAACATTATTATCCATATAAAATCCGAGCACATAGATAATGCAAATAATATTATAGTTAAATTAATGGCAAGATAAATATTTATTCAATTTAATAGGTGTCAGATTATGAAAAAAAAATGAACAACAATATTCAAACCCAATATCACATGTTTAAGTATTGTTTTATGCCCATGACCCAAAAAAAAAAAAGTAACAAACTCAATTGAAATTGAACAAATCTAATTTTTCACATACCAATCCACTACTAGTTCCACGCAAACTCATGCACAAGGTATGGACAACATGCTTCATAATTAAGCCAGTAAAAACAAGATTATTCACATTCTACAAAAAATAATAATAATAATAATAACAATTAACACTGAATATGAACTTTCATATTGTTGCTTTGCCAAGAAAAAAATTAATCACATTGTTTGGAAGCTTTTCAACTTGAATAAGTGAACCTGAACAAGTAGGGGAGAGAGAGAGAGAAACAAGAAGGTGAGAAAGACTAACTCGAGAGTATTTAAGTATTGTATTCATAAAAATAGAGGTCTCGAATCTGGTTTCGAGGTAAGATTTCGTTTAAAACCTTCTTCTTCAAGTAGACGTTGACCAACTCTTCATCAGTTTGACAAAAACGATAACCAGGTGGCGATGAGTTAAAGTAAACTTCGTTAACGTCTTCTATGTTGCCATTATTCTCCACTACGGTTTGCTTTCGTTTCTCCGTTGTTGAACCTCAAACACATTATTTATAAGGATAAAACTACATGGGAGTGAGAGATAGATTTTCAAGGGATTGGTAATAATAATGAAGTGATAAAAAGATCAATATTCTCTAACAAGGATTTATAATAGTACATGTCTGTATCATTTAGTAATTTGAGTAGTAATAGGAGTTGGAAGTAGTTAGAGTCCAACGTGAATACCACTTGTTTATTTTGTACAAATTCTGGATAAGTTGCAGGTGAATATCTATTGATGGAAAATGGGATTAACTAATATATGTCAGTTAATAGATCTAATCTTTATTTCAAGGACTTCACTTCGGTACACAAAAGAAAAAAAAAATTTGGTAGTATACAACAAATTTTAATATTTTAATGGTTGCTTTTACAATTTTTATAAGTTATTTTACAACAAAAAAATTTATCACTTTTGTAAGTGATTTTCTACTATCATAAGTATTTTATCACTGTTGTGATACTTGTAATCCATCCTAAATTTTTAGTGGTAAATATCGGTACGATATGAAAAAAAAATTGGTACCTTAAACTTTTCCTTATTTCAATTCAATTCATATTTTATAGATTTAATGTATATATATATATCCAATTTAATTAGAATCAGACCAACAATATATTTATGTGTGCATATGAAAAAATGATGAAATTGGAGGATTATAAGACTCATTTTCGTTGAAATTCATAGGATTTCCTAAAATTTAAAAAAATTAATTCAATTGAACGGATCCGATTTTTTTAGTCTCCTCACCAATCATGTTTTTTACATTAAATTTTCAACTACATTATTAGTTTCACATTGCCCAAATTATTAATTTACGCTAAAATTTTGATAAAAAAATATATTTTATTTTGTATGTATTTATTTCACTTTTTCGTGTAGCCGTTAATAATTTATCTCCAAAAGATAGTAAATGCTTGAATTTGGAGCGACATGAAAACAATTCAAGTAATTGAGCGGGTAATATAAACAATTCAATAGTTCAAGGAATAAAGTAAAATTTAGTCGAAAATTAAGATATTCAAAATTTAATTTTCCCTTTTTGATAAGGTTTTGAACTACTAGAGTTTCTGTACCATTAACTGATTCTAATTCCAACTAGACTTAGAACTAGTTATTGCCCAACTAAGCCTATCAATATTCAACTGCAAAGTGCTAATGTTTTCTTCATGTTCCGTCCTAGTTTTTTTTTTAATTAAAAACTAAGTAATCTATATACCTATATATAGACACATATGAATATTTTCATGTTCGTACGTATTCGTGTTTATGTTAAGACTCACGAAAAAAATATCTATTTATTAATTAAAATCATTTATTATGTATATTTATTAATCGTATAAATTTTAAAACTGTGTTGTTTTGAGTTTGTGTTAACAGATCCGAGATGACACGAAGAACATTTGCTGCCAAAGGAAGAAACATTAAAAAAGATCAAACAAAATAAGAGTTTACCTGTTGGCACTTGGAGCTTTATCGATTCTAAGATTTTCCACTGAAAATTTGTTCTTTTGGCCTATACAAGGTCAGTTTATATAGGAAAGATTCGTTTATATTACTTTTAATCCTAAATGGATTGGAAGTTTAGTAAAAGAAACATGTCGATATTCTAAGTTTATGTATTCAAGTAAAAATTAAATTGATAACGTTTGAATCCTTAGATCAATTAGAAATCCATGTGAGTAAAGGACTAGAGAAAACAATAAACGAAGTGGATTCTTTGTATACCGAAGTGGATTAGAATTTCATGCAAGTCATGGTTAAGAATCACTAAATTTAAAATAAAAAAATTAATTAGCAAAATTTCTTATAAATGTATAAATTAATTTGAGATCCATCTCATATTTATATAAAATTAAATATACAAACAAGTCTCGAAGGGGCATTTTTGGACACTAAAAACTAAATTTTCATGCTGTGACTTGGAAACTTAGGGGTCGTTTGATAACGTTTTTATTTTCGCGTTTAAAAAAATTAAAAATATATACAATTTTTTGTCTTTGTTTTGTGATAAACACTAAAACAAAAAACATATTTGGAAGTCATTTTTGTCTATCAAATTATGAACATAAAAACAAAAAATATGTTTGATATCCACTTCAAACTTTTTCCTAAATATGTTTGATATCTATTTGGTAATTAAATCTCAAATGACAATTGAACAATCCCAAATGGAAATTCAATCAGCTGCAAATGATAATTTAATCCCAAATTATAATTCTATCAATCCTAAATGATTCAACACAACACATACACACACGCAAAACAGATACCAAACAAACACTATACACACACGCACAAATTTGTGCATATGTATGAAAACTTCTGGATTTCACAGATAAAAGGGAGAGAGGTGGCAATAGAGGTGGGTTTCATATAGAGAAAGGAAAGAGGAGGCAGCGATGGAGTTGGCGATTCGTCTAGAGGTGGGTTTCACAGAGAAGAGGGAGAGAAGAGAGAGAGAAAGGCAGCGATTAAGATGGGTTCACAATTTTTAGGTTTCATATAGAGAAAGGAGAGCTTCTAAGTTTCATACAAAGAAAGGACAGAGGAGGTAACGATGGAGGGAGGGTTTGATACAGAGAAGGAAGAGATGAAGGAGAGAGACAGAGAAAGAGAAGCGATGGGAGGAGAGAGGGGTGAAATAGGATTTTATACTTCAACAAAAAAAAAATAGGCTTATTTTGCTATTAAGTGGAGTCGAAGTCCGGATCTCATTAATTCCCACTCTTTTTTGCGCGTGTTGTCTCCGTTGGTGTTTCTTGAAACATCTTTTTTTTATTCTCATTTTTTTATCTTTGTTTCCAAAAAACTAATACAAAACAAAAATAAAAATAATACCCAAACATGTTTTGTTTTTATTTTTGATAAAAATTGAAAACAAAAACATAAAACACAAGACAAAAACAATTACTAAACAACCCCTTAATTTTCATGCTGCACTACAGCGTGAAAACTTAACTATGGTTTCATGCTACATTGTAGCATGAAAACAATAGTTAAGTTTTCATAGAAAACTAGTTTCCAAGTCCTAACATAACATGATAACTTAGTTTTCTTGCTAATCACTATAATATCTTTGTACCTTAGTTAAGTTTTCATGTTGTGTTAGGACTTGGAAACTTAGGGCTCGTTTGTTAGCGTTTTTGTTTTTGCGTTTTCAAAAAATAAAAAACAGAGTCAATTTTTTGTTTTTGTTTTTGTTTTGTGATAAATACTGAAACAGAAAACATGCTTGGTAGTCATTTTTGTCTATCAAATTATGAGAATAAAAATAAAAAACATGTTTGATAACTACCTCAAGTTTTATCCTAAATATATTTTATATTATCTCATTTTTTGTTTTCAAACAAATCAACACTTTATTTAATCAAAAATGATTTACAACCATGTATTACAAAGGAGTTACAAGAAGCAAAAGACCACAGCCAGCAACCATCAAAACAAAGCAGATAGACTGCCAGTCCAGCAACCCATCAAGGAAATATAACACCCAAAAGCAAATACAATGATGTGGACTACGGACCACATTTTTTTTTTTTGAAGGAGAGATTCTATTGATATAAACAAAGATTACAAGAAATAAAGCTATAACAAAAAAAGAAAAGCCAAAGTTGGTACAAAAAACAAAAAGTTCATCATCATATACAACACTGCCCAGAAACAAGGACTAGCTGAAAGGCACAAGAGGATCAGCTAAAAAGCGCAAGAGGACCAGCAAAAATACCCAACAAAAAAAGGCACCAAGTTGGAACCAAAATCCAAAGGGGTGGATCAACTGAAGGCACAGAAACCAGCTGAAAACCAGTTGAAAGCCCAGCTGAAACCCATTAACAGCCAGCTGGGAATCCAGCTGAGCAAAACCAAAGATGCCACCATCAAAGCAAACCAAAAAACAGCAGGATGGCCAGCAGCAAGGCACAAAGAAAAACAGATGAAAGTCCAGCTGAGAGCAAAAAAAAAACAGCTGAGCAGCAACCGAACAAACAAAACCAGCTGAACAGAACCGAATGAATCCAACATCTGAGAAGAAGCCACCAGCATTAGCAGAAGTAGCAACCAGGTTGTTCACGTGAACAGTCTCATGAACAGTAAATAGAAAACCAACATGAGGCCAACTGAAAATCCAACTGTAAACCAAAAAAAATCAGGTGCAAAACCAGTAGAGAACCAGCTGCTAAGAAGACTCAGTTGAATGAGAAAAAGCAATAGCAAAGGAGAGCCAAGAGGAGGTAGCACCACCCAGCTGAAAACCAGTTGAAAGACCACTAGCATCAATAGCTCAACAAAAGCAAAAAAACGGATGCACATAGTGCATACACATGCAGAATGAGGACTGAGATCCAGCTTGAATCATCAAAAAACATAACTTGGCTTTAATCCTCCAATAAAACCAAAACCAATAGTCCTTGCATTCATAAAACCTTTTAACCTTTGTCATCAAACACCAGTATCCTTTTTTTCCTCAACACAGGCAGACCCTGCAAATCATGCAATAACACCTCCACCAGCAGGCCCAGGATTACCCTTGGCAGCACCATCAACATTTAATTTCAAAATCCCCTCATCTGGACATTTCCAATGAATCCATAAAGCTCTAGTCACAATCTTAAATAAAAGGTCAACCCCAAGCTGCTCCATCCAAGCAGCTGAGCACTAGGGGCAGTGGTCAAGCCCCAAATACAAGAAGCAGTCTCATTCAAGACACCCTGCTGCCTAATCACATTCCAAGCAAATTTGACAGCAAAAACACCAGATGTTGTTTCTTTCCAAATTAAAATATCTGCCTGATCAGACAAACTTATTCCAGAGTTAACATCTTCTCTGAGATGATCAGGAAGAAACAAGCCCACATCATCAAGCTGCCACTGAGAGTCCATGACCAAGTCAGCCACTGTTGGAAAAGACAGAGGCATTACTGATCAAGCAATTCAGGCACATCATCTGGGGTGACATAACCATACCTGCATATTAGCAACCAGCAACAGCAGATCAGCAACCAGCAGCAAGATCACCAACCAACAGCAGTAGCAGCAAGATCAATTGATCAAGCTTCAGCAGCATAAGGTCCCAACCTTTTCACCATTGTCATCCAAATGGTTACAATTTTTTCACTTACACAATTAATCAAACATATTATGCTCAGGCATACACACAACAAACAAAGACACAACACATACCCAAACTCAGACTCAACACACATACCACACAGAAAGACAGGCACTCAGACACACACCCAGAACACACACACTCAAACACATACTCAACACACTAACACACCTAGACAAACCTGGACCTGCATCCCCCACCTGCTAAAAAGCCTATCTGCAGCCAGCAGCCAAGCACAACAGCCAACAATCAGGACAAATTCCATAACTCAATTATAAGAAAAGCAGCCAGCAGCCAAACACAAATTCCACCATCCTCCAGCTGCACCCACAATCCAGTTACAATGCCTCTAACCTAGTTATATTACATCAAAATACAAATCCAAAGAACATATAAAGAAAGATACTTATATTACCTAAGCCAGTAATCACATTCATACATCATATTGTCCAACACACAGCCCCTAAGTTCAGACATTAATAAGTCATATCACTTAACTAAAATTCCAATAATTAATACAAATACCACGAACAATAATACACAAATAAAAATCAAATTACATCCACAACAAGCAAGCATGAAAATAGTAATCCATTTCTTCTTTCTCCATCTTGATTGGGCTTGATTAATCACATGTTGTTCATTTGTAATTGTGTTGTTCTCATCAACTCATATGAAACAATTGTCATGCTCACGCCAACGTGGACAACGATAACAAGTTCGTCCATTGTTTCGTTTGGTCCTTGCGACCAAAATATTCATGTTCCCGGATCCACACGAGCATGGAGGGCCAATACATGTCATTATAACACACCTAATTACATTAATATCAACAAGTAAAAATTAGTCATATAAACATTAAATTCAATATAACAATGCAAGTATCAACACATTTTTACCATCATAATATATAATAACATTAGGACATGTATCAATGGTGAGTTAATGCCCACAATTGATTAGCAATTGTATCTCTGACACGAGCCATTTGACGTAGCAGACTTGGACTTATGTTTAATTCTATTGGGACCTATGAACTAGATCCAACAACAGTTCTTTCATTATCAACAAATTCTCTTCTTTCCTAGTCGTCAAATAACTAATCTTTATGAGAATGCATTCTAATGAAGTTATGCACTGTATAACATGTTGTGGGAATGTATTTCTGTGTGGTTAAGGGATATGGAGGCATTAGCTTCAAAATGGGAAAACAAATCTTTAGAACTCCAAAACAACGTTTTATCACATTCCGATGTGAAGAGTGTCGATGATTGAATAATTCTTCTTTACCGGTTAGTTGTCGACCCCTACCTTTATAATCACGCAAAGCGTATTTGTGTAGCCCGAATCCATAACATAATATTTACCTTCTTGTGGCATTAGAAACTTATTGGCTAGATTAGCAACACACTCAACAAATATTCTTGAGTCATGAGTAGTACCCACTCATCACAAATATAAAGCGCATTTCAAAGAAACATGCACACATTACATTTTGAGTTGGTACAATACACTTCCCACGGTATGGTATCTGCAAATCCGCTAGAACACATGCACCAACGTGGGTGCCATCAATGACGCCAACACAATTCTTCAAAGAAAAAGAAAAAACACATGAATGACATTGAAATTAATATTTTATTACAACATATATTGCAAATTATGTCACTTATCTTAAAAAAATGGTAATATCTTAGGTTGAAGCGAATCTGAGGTTGAACCATACTAAAATCGGGAGGACTGATGATATCAACTCCAAGCCTACAGAACATGATTAAAGTATTTGGAAATGGTCTCCCCCAAATGCTGAAACCTTTCAGCTACTATGTGATTTCGCTCATTACGTGATATTGTAAGTAAAAATATAGCAACTTGTTCTTGCATGGTTACAAACCTGGAGTGTTCCAACCCTTTTTCTTTTAATGTCTCACACAACAACACGAACACGGGTGTGTCCATTCTAAATTGGTCATAGCACCTACTTTCATGTCCATGTAATAGCTCCAATACATAATCATGTCCTTTAAGAGCATACGTTCTACATGGTCGTTGTAATGTATTGTGACTATCTAATTATATTGCAATCAATACAATATACTTATCATCATCACTATCTAATATTATATCAAATTCTTCATCTGAATTCATTATTGAATATTCAAGTCTACCTGTAATATCCATACATAATGCGCTTATCAAACATTTTATCACAACACATTATAAATACGCATAATAATTAAACTTCAATCCAAAAACACGCATAATACCAAAGTCCACATACTCCAAATCCTACACATAATACCAATGTACACATAATATAAAAGTACAGATAATAACAAAGTCCACATACTCCAAATCCTACACATAATACAAAAGTACACATCCAAAAATGATAGGCTTAAGTGCAATTATCACAGGTTAGTAACAAAATCCTTCTTCCTATAATCTGGCATATATAAGAACATCTTCCTATAGCTCATATCATCTCCAAAAATCTTAATAGCCTTTGTGTATGAAGCTGCATCAATGTCCTCGAGAGAATTCAAAGCAGCCACATATTTTTCTAACAGATCATCAGTATGCGTAACAACCTCACTATCACCACATGAAGTCGTCGCCATAGACGCACTGGACATCTTATAGTCAATATACTCTGACTTTTTCTTTGAACTCTCAACCAACACATTAAGAGCAGATGTAAGTGCTAGGTTGTAGTTATTTTTCTTCCTACGACGATTGCTTGTTGGCGTGGTACTTCGAGGATGGTTATTTGTCCCTTTCTCCACATTTCCCTCACCATCATCAACCTCAAGTGACAGTTCCGATAGAGGTTGGGTGGATGGATAAGCATTATCACCGGTTGTAGTTGTCTTTTCATAAATCCTACACAGCTTCTCGTAATGTGGACACCTTTTTTTCCTGAATTGTCTTGCATGCTTATTAACCTATATTAAACCAAAATAATAGAAGGTATTCAATACATATTAACCTAAAACTATTTGACATTATGGTTAAAAAAAATATGGATAGTAATCAATACTACATTCTACCTTGCACAAATCTTTCCAAGTCTCATCATCCAAGACAATGGTTTTCTTCATGGGGTCCCAATCAACTCCAATTTGATTCAACAATTTCTTGAAGGCATGGTAAATTGGTCTCAAATTATTAAACTTTCTCCGTAGTTGTTCATACATGTAGTTGTATCCCGGGCTTAATGTCATGTTTCTTACGAGATTTTTCCACCCAACTTTGGTAAAAGTAGTATTTGGTCTATGCCCCACTGCTACTTCCCTATCCATCAAGTCAATGAAAATTGTCTCCTTATCGGACGTCCATATGGCTACATTTTTGTCATTGTTAACCTCTACAACCTCATCATCGTAAATTTGTTCATTACTCGTTTCCATCTACAATAATTTTGTCAGTTATATTAACAACTTCCCAACCACTACACATAACCATACTAATAATTCACAAATGCAACATGAATCAAGGTGTACAAGTAAACAAATCCAAGTTAACATCAAATCCAAGTGATGCATTGATAGACAAAAGAAAAGGTGAAAAGAATAAATGGTGCAACTATTGATTTGAGTTCTTATATAGGTACATTACTATTATCATCTATGGCGCCAAGTATTTTTTAAGTGAGTTCTTATAGTGTTTTTGAAAATTTGTTTGACAGGCATAAGCTTCGGTATTGGAATGGAAACTCTATACTTGATGCAAAGACAAGGGAACCAATACCTAAGGATGACTAATTTTGGCTCAAGGACAATTGGTAGTATGGAAATCAATCAACCAATTCCTGAGGATGACTAATTTTAGCTAGTATCTCGTACCCTACGAAATCTATTTAGTTGTTTTCTTTACTTTTCCAATGTACCAAAAAAAAATCATAACTATTCTACTTCCAAGGTGCAAACAACAATACACACTAATTAAATTACATATGCATCATTGAAAGAAAATCAGAGTGAGATCGATAAACCAATTAAGAAAACAACATCCTACTTTGACTACCAGTGGCATATACTTAATTTATCTTGATTATTAGAGAAAAAGTGCTACTTTCATTCTTGTTTTTTACTGTTGTGGCTTCCTTGGTTAAATGCATAAAAAATAACATTACATAGGATAATGTTAAATCAATATAACTAGTCCAGCCTCCACCCAGACATCAATTGCACATGGAGANAAAACCATTTTCCTTGGTTAAATGCATAAAAAATAACATTACATAGGATAATGTTAAATCAATATAACTAGTCCAGCCTCCACCCAGACATCAATTGCACATGGAGAGCTAATTAAGATGTACATCAATGTCCTCGACAAATTTGGGAGTCAAAAGCTTTTTTTTTGGTATGATAAAACATAGCTAAAATAGGGGTCAATCCCACTAAATCTACAACTTGTCACAATACTCTTAGCCTACTTTCAAATGGATACATTCGTCTTTCACTTATGAAAAAGGAATGATTATTCACGAATGAGATGCACAAATAATAACACAGATACAAAGTACGCAAAAGCATTCATCTTTCGCCATAAACTCACAAATTTACTTTATGAACCAAAATTGATTTAGGTTGGCCGTACACCAATGTCACTCTATCTTCAATTTTTTATTTTTTTTGTTCATTCTTGCATATCAAGAGTGTTCAACCCGTGACTAATTTTGAGCATTAATTGACATGATTTTGAAATTGTTAACGAAAATGTAAATTTATTTGAATAACTATTACAACCACCTACCTAACTCACATAGAACCAAAATAATCAAAGCACAAAACCGCGGTCTGCCATCAAAACAAACATGAATGTGCTCTGTAAAACCCTAATGATAAATCAATAATGAAATCTACATACAAATGTAACATATCTATGTATATTGTGGTGAAAAAAATACAAATAAAACAAAAAAATACGATTATGGTCTGTGATGTACAAATCTAAGTAGATCTAAGCATATATATACATATATCAGATTGATTAAAGGGGTTACACTTACCTTCTTCCTCTTCCTCTTCGTCTATGACCCTTATTCGTCTTCGTTTTCACCTATCGATCTGAGTCTTCTTCATCTTCGTCGATCTGTGAGTGGAAGAAAAAGAGTTGCCGAGAAACCTCCGAAGAAGAGAGATTGTTGAGAGAGGGAAGAGGAGAAAGGGAAGAGGAGAGAGAGTTATTGTTCTTACCTTCAAAGAAGAGAAAGAGTGGTTGAAACAATAGGGGCTGCGAAGGACTGATCTGTGAGGA